CCAATACCATATCCATGGTGGGACCCGGCACAGACTAATACAAGAACATGGGTCTCTTTTCTCCTCCTTATACCAATATCAACAAGTAACAGCTTATGTCAGGGATGATCAAATGGCCCTCCTAACAGTAAACATTTGTGATGGGTGAAGGAGCGTGGGTTTGAATCATTGCAAATTGCTGACATTTTTTACTGAATACACCCAAACATTAATGAAAAGGCGAATCATGAAAATCAATTGTGTCCATTTTCAATGCCAAAAGGTAAGGCATTGTCAGATAAAGCTGGGTATGACCAGACGGAACATATACTAATGATTTTGTTTTTTAATTTGCCAGTTATTTTTGCAAACACCCAGACTTGAAGACTACTTAAAATGGCTATACAGACAGGATTTAAAAAACAAAAAAAAACAAAAATAAATCATACTTGCCTGCACTGTGCAATGGTTTTGCACAGGAGTAGCCTCAATCCTCCCCTTCATTGCTCCATCGATGGCAAGTCTGCCCCCCCCAGCTGAGTGCCCCCCAAGCAAGCTGCTTGCATTGGGGCACTTGCCCATTCCTCGTTCCTGAGCCACCTCTGTGTGTCTATTGGAGCCCCACCCCCTTCTCCTTCCTCACTGGTGTGACTGACAGCAGTGGGAGCCCCAGAACCTGTGTCATTAATATGTGTACGGTTTAGGAATGAGATGGCAACCTTAAGGGAGAGACCTGGGAGAGCCTCAGCTCTCATGCACTTTGTTCGATCTCAGGAACGAGCAAAGGTAAGTCTTAGGGGGGCTGCGGGGGGGAATTCACACTGAAGGCTTTTTCCCTTCATGCACAGAATGCATAAAGGTAAACAATCTTCAGTCTTTACAACCACTTTAAAATCCTTCTAACACTAATATATTTTATGAAAGCAGAGACCCTGGAGAATGAAATAGTACACTAAAGTTCATTTAAAAAAAACACAAACATAATAACCTTTTTTTGGCAAAATATAAAATATGAGGAAGCACTGAGTAAATAGATAATAACCATGTCAAGCCCTAATATTATGTGCACTCCTGATTGGTGACAAACTTTGACACCCTAAATGTTTCTAATATATCTATATTATAATATAGATTTGAAGGGGACCGCAGGGTCAAAACAAAAAGTGTGTGCATTTCCCAAAAGGTTTTTTTTAAAAAGGTGAACCCTATGGAAAAGAGGATCTGCAGATATCCAGGTCTGGTGGCTGCCGTTTGTCAACTCGAACTTTGAGCTCCCTCCACAGATTTTCAGTCGGATTAAGGTCTGGAGACCAGCTAGGCCACTCCAGGACCTTAATGTGCTTCTTCTTGAGCACTCCTTTGCTGCCTTGGATGTTTGTTTTGGGTCATTGTCATGCTGGAACACCCATCCACGACCCATTTTCAATGTCCTGACTGAGGGAAGGAGGTTCTCACCCAAGATTTGATGGTACATTGCCCCATCCATCCTCCCTTTGATACTGTGCAGTTGTCCTGTCCCCTTTGCAGAAAAACACCCCAAAGCAGAATGTTTCCACCACCATGTTTGACAGTTGGGATGGTGTTCTTGGGGTCATAGGCAGCATTCCTCCTCCTCCAAAACACGCGAGTTGAGTTGATGCCAAAGAGCTCGATTTTGCTCTCATCTGACCACAACACTGTCAACCAGTTCTCCTCTGCATCATTCGGATGTTCCGTGGCAAATTTCAGATGGGCCTGGACATGTGCTTTCTTGAGCAAAGGGACCTTTCGGGCACTGCAGTATTTCAATCCTTGTCGGCGTAGTGTGTTACCAATTGTTTTCTTGGTGACTGTGGTCCCAGTTGCCTGTAGATCATTGACAAGATCCTCACGTGTAGTTTCTGGGATGATTCCTCACTGTTCTCATGATCATTGACACTCCATGAGGTGAGACCTTGCATGGTGCACCAGACCTGGGAGACTGACAGTTGTTTTGACTGCTTCTAATCTCAGCTTGTTACCTGTATGAAAGACACCTGGTAGCCAGAAATCCTGCTGAATGATAGGAGATCAAATACGTATTTCCCTCATGAACATGCAAATCTGTGCATAATTTGTTAGAAATGCATTTCTTTCGAATTTTTTGCTACTATTCTGTCTCTCAGTGTTACAATACACCTACCATTTGATTTTTAGACTGATCATTTCTTTGTGAGAAAATATTCAAAATCAGCAGGGGATCAAATACTTATTTCCTTCACTGTACATGTACATCACTGCATTCAAGCAGTTATACCTGAAAGATGGCTGCAGATGTCAGCCACAATCCAGGTATCATTTGTTCTGTCGGTGATGCCCTACAACCGTAAAAGCAATCCTAGCAGCTAATTAGCCACTGGATCACTTTTAGAAGTGTCAGGAGGGATCATCCCCCTCCTGCCGCTCTCCGATGCTCTTCTGGCTCTTCTGTCCCACTGGACAGCCTGTCATCCTATCCGGCGCCTGCGGCCAATGACAATAGAGGTGATTGGACATTGGAAGCAGTTAGCATTTCATCACTTCCAGTTAGGGAAAATGTAAACAGAGCGATTTAATCTGGAAAACATGAGATCAATGTTTTTTTTATCTCATGCTTTCAAGGGTAGGGGAGAGACCTGGGGTCTTAAAGATCCCAGATGTCTCCATAAAGAGGACCAGTCATGCTTTATTGCTATCACAAGTGATGTTTACATTTGTTGTAACAGCAATAAAAGTGATGAAACTAAAAAACTAAAAGGGTCAGTGTAAAAATGAAAAAATAAATACAAATTTTTAAAGCACCCCTATCCCCTGTACTCATGCGCAGAGGCAAATGCTTATGTAGGGTTCGCATGCAAATGTAGATGGTGTTCGCACCACACATGTGAGGCATTACCTAGAACGTTATAGCGAGAGCAATCATTCTAGCTCTAAGCCTCCTTTGTACCTCTAAACTGGTAACCTGTAAAAAGTTTTAAAACATCACCTATGGAGATTTTTAAATATAGTTTGTCGGCATTTGCGAGCATGTGCAATAAAGCGTGAGATGTTAGGAATCTATTTACTTGGTGAAACATCATCTTTTATATTTTACCAAAAAAAGGGTTGTATATTGTGTTTTGCAATAAAATGTATTAAAGTGTATCTTTTGCAACAAAATTGTGTTTAAAACACTGCTGCACATATACCGTGTGACACAAAAAAATTGAAATGACCACCATTTTATTCTCTAAGGCCTCTGCTACAAAAAATATATAATGTTTGGGGGTTCTAACAAAAAATACAGATTTTTAAATGTAGGAGAGAAGTGTCAGGTCAGATAGGCCTGGTCTTCACGTGGTTAAATGAGTGCTGAGGATACAATAATAGAATTTCATTACAAAGTTTTACATTAAGGGTGTCCATTCAATTGTAATAATAATTAGTGAGGTACAACTGTAAAGTCAACAATCGTTTTCAACAGCAATGATGAAAAAATTCTGGAGGAAAAGGATGGGAAATTTTTCTTAAATTAAAATATTTCTAACAGCATATGTAATTTAGTTTGGGAAAGTCCATTCACTATACACTGAAAGTTAAATGCAAACAAAATTTTGAACTACTTTTGAATGGCATTTGTTAAGTCTTCAAATGTACTGAGAATTTTCATATGAATGTTTTTTTTTTGTATGGAAAAATATATTAGTGTATAGCCAGCTTTACTAGTAAAATCTATTTGGATGAGGTCAGGATGTCCAATCTTTTTTTCTATATTTTGGCTTTATGGACGTGTTAAACCCTTTTGAAGAGAAGTTCTAACTGTCTACATCTTGACGGCTGCCAGGAAACCATTCCTCTACATTGGCTATCTACTACAAACTCCCTCTTTGTCTGGATTGTTGAAGGTTATAGGAGAATGGAGTACCTAACTGCTCTTCATAGTGACACCCTTACTCTGTTTAAAGTCATATTGATCGATGGGTACTTTGTATTTCTTCCGTTTGCGAATAATCTCTCCAACAATTGTCTCCTCACCAAGCTTCTTGCTGATGGTCTTGTAGCCAATTCCAGCCTTTGTGCAGGTCTACAATATTGTCTCTGATGTCTTTTGACAGCTCTTTGGTCTCTTTTGCCCATTATGGTGAGGTTTGGATGGAAGAAAGAGCTTCTGTGGACAGGTTGTCTTTTATACACATAATGAGTTGTCGTTTGGAGCACCTTCTTAAATTGACAGGACTAATCTGTGTACCACATGAGCACATAGCCAGTCTGTGGGAGCCAGAATTATTGTTGGTTGGCAGGGGATCAAATACTTATTTTACTCACTGAACTGCAACTCAATTTATAACATTTGTGTTGTGTTTTTCCTGGATTTTTGGTTGATATTCTGTCTCTATCATTTAAAATACACCTATGATAAAAATTATAGACCCTTCATTTCTTTGAAAAGGGCACACTTACAAAATCTGCAGGGGATCAAGTAAGTATTATTCCCACTGTATGCAGTCATCTTCAGGTGATTGGCCACTGGAAAAAAAGCTTCCGCGACATCCCCTTTATAACCCCTCCCACTGCCAGATAGCCTCAATTTTGTAGCAAGCAATGGGGAGATCAAAAAAACAGGGGGAGGGACCTGTCCTGTACTGTACTCCAAGAAATAGATTTTACAGGTACAATTTCCCATTTTATTAGTCACACAGTACGGCACACAGGATCTCTTGTCTTTGTCATGGGATGTCCAAAAGCAGTCCACCCGAAGTGGTGAGCATAAAACACACACAGCTCCAAGTAACAATCAGTCCAGATGGGAAAACCTCATCCCTAAACAAAATGGGCCAGGACCACTTTGCCTTCTTTTTGTACTTTATATGAGGAATTAGTCCCTATGGAAAGCACTGTTAATAATAAGTAGGAGGTTGTCATGAAAGTCTGGATTACATTGTTCATTAGTCTTAGAGGATCCCTATAAGATTCTGCATAAGGATTACAGTCTACAAATCCTAATCAGATAAAATGCTACATGGAGGAACACAGCAACAGTACTCACTGTTGGTGCTGCTGTAGCCAATCTTCTTCTTCTCTGAAATATGAAGACATGGAGTTAGACACCAGAAATAGAACTTCAATCCATAAAATGTATTTAAAATATTTTCAAGCCAACAATATCACAGCTGAAAAATAAGATTGTTAGATAGAATGCACAGTTTGATGTAAATACAATTATCTTTGTTTTGTTAATGTTGTACATGAGGGCAGCCATATTTGTCCCTTAGATATGCAGGCTGTGCGTTCTGCTTTGCTCTGCTACATGATGGTTTTCACTTTACTAAATTCATTTGGGAACAGAATTTGTTTTTCGGACACAGAAATCTCAGGAGTGGATTAAGAAATCCTCCAAAAGGGGCCTCATTTTCTGGCTGTTTTCTTTTGCTGCCGAAGGAGACACATCCTCAGGTTTGTTTCATGAAGAACTCCAGGAACTGTAGCAGTTTTAAAAGTCTGCTGGTTTATAGGGGGTTAAGTCCAACAAGGTGAATGCCACCCCATGGACTTGTCTCTTTTATTTACTATTTACATTTTTTACTGAGCACCGGAAGTACAGATGTCGGTATACTATTGACACTCAGATGCTGGATCTTCAGATCTCAGATATGGAATCTACAGAGCTGCATGCAGACATTCTTCCTGTCTCTCCTCTCCTTTTGTTCAGTCATGGAAGACATTGTAAAATACGATCCCATTCACAAACTACAAAGTATTCTGTGAATGGATGGTGGGGGGAGGGGGTGGGCACACAGCAGCTGCATCTCGCCTTCCAGAGCACTTCCTATTTAGTGATAGCTGTACCCTCAGCACTCAATGCATCTGCAAATAGTAAATAAAAGAGATTAATCCACAAGGTGGCATTAAACCTGTTGGACTTACTCCTAAACCGGCAGATTAGTAAAGTTTCTTTGATTTCTGGGCCTTTTCTTTATGTACACATGAAGGCTGTTCTTTGTTAATCTGGTCCCCAGTCCATACAGCAGGCGCCTGTTCTAAGCCTTGGGGTAACCTCATTATATTCAGAGATTCCCAAACCCTGACTGAACTGCTAGGGCTCATAAACACTTGTGTCATCCTCAGAAGAGCGATCCATGGTGGAAACACTTTTCAGAGGGCTTTTGACAGGTGGATATGAGGTGTTATGTTTTTAAGTGTTACTAAACCCACAATAGTATAATCAGTCTGTATATGCAGATAAGCATGCTTGTTATACTCACTGTGGAACCTAAGGGGTTAATCCGCTGAAGTGTGTAAAAAGGCTGTTTGATCCTACTTTCTCCGCCCCTCCTCTTGTTCAAATGTTTACCTGCTAAGACAGACTGAACCCACAGCCACATGCACATGCTCAGTTTAGTGTGCATTGCTAGAGGTTTTTTTTTTTTTCTTGGGAGAGTGCATGTGATCAGCACAGGACCAATCAGCAATGGTCCAGACAGAGGTCAGGGGCTTTGCATCCTCCCAAGCAGAAAGAAAACTCCTCCTACAAGCTTTAACCAGTGCTCTGCTGGACACTGATAGAAGACAAAAGACTACTCTAACTGTTGATGAGAAAAGGTATTTAGCAGGTTATATTACTAAAACAATTGCACTTCCGTGTTGTGTGTACTGTGGGAGACCAGATACAGTGAATTCAGGGTCCGGGGAGACCAAATATAGTGAATGCAGGGTCCGGGAGACCAGATATAGTGAATGCAGGGTCCGGGGAGACCAGATATAGTGAATGCAGGGTCCGGGGAGACCGGATATAGTGAATGCAGGGTCCGGGGAGACCGGATATAGTGAATGCAGGGTCCGGGGAGACCAGATATAGTGAATGCAGGGTCCGGGGAGACCGGATATAGTGAATGCAGGGTCCTGGGAGACCGGATATAATAAATGCAGGGTCCGGGGAGAGACCGGATATAGTGAATGCAGGGTCCGGGGAGACCAGATATAGTGAATGCAGGGTCCGGGGAGACCAGATATAGTGAATGCAGGGTCCGGGGAGACCAGATATAGTGAATGCAGGGTCCAGGGAAACCAGATATAGTGAATGCAGGGTCCGGGGAGACCAGATATAGTGAATGCAGGGTCCGGGGAGACCAGATATAGTGAATGCAGGGTCCTGGGAGACCATATATAGTGAATGCAGGGTCCTGGGGAACCATATATAGTGAATGCAGGGTCCAGGGAGACCGGATATAGGGAATGCAGGGTCCGGGGAGACCAGATATAGGGAATGCAGGGTCCGGGGAGACCAGATATAGGAATGCAGGGTCCGGGGAGACCAGATATAGTGAATGCAGGGTCCGGGGAGACCAGATATAGTGAATGCAGGGTCCGGGAGACCAGATATAGTGAATGCAGGGTCCTGGGAGACCATATATAGTGAATGCAGGGTCCGGGGAAACCATATATAGTGAATGCAGGGTCCGGGGAGACCAGATAAAGTGAATGCAGGGTTCCTGGGTTTAGTAACACTTTAACTCTATAGAGCCGCACCAAACCTGTATGCAATGTATGCAGCCACTTGGCTGTGCCATTACCTTGAATTTGTTGTGAGGAGGTATAATTGTTTTGCAATGCCCATGACAGAAAGAACTCTGGCTGTGGCATGTGTACAACCCCCTCTAGCCATTATGTTAGATTATGGGGGTGGTAAGGGAGGGGTAAAACCACTGCTCAACAGCCTGGTATTACTGCCCCCTGGCCTCAAGTGTAAAGGAGGCCTTATGTAAACAGTAAATAGAGCTTTCATAATCGCATTTTGGCTTCTCTTTTCTATTTCTCATGCCTTTGTGTTGATCACCAGTTTTTATTAGCTGCCTCACTGACCAATAAGAAGACATGGGATGGGAAGGCAGAGTGCTACAAATCTTAGGATACTAAAGAGCTCTAATGACATTCAAATGGTGCAGGTACCTAGAGGATTCTGTACTGCAAACTGGGGACAATTTAATGAGGTTTACTTAAAAAATAGTTACTAGTTCCTGGATTTAATGGGAAACATTTCAGGATAGAATATACTTACTCATCAAAACAACAACTGCAATAATAGCAGCAAGAACAGCAAGGACTCCAATAACAGCACCAATGATCACTCCGACTGAGAGGCCATTGCTTGGTGGATCTGACAGAGATAAACAAAGAGAATGTGAGATATTAGAGACTTTAGGATACTGGTATACAAATTATTGAGTTTACAAAATTATGAAAAGTATTGGCCACCTTTAAATGCATTATTCCTGCACTATGTATAGAAGAATGTGTAAATGTCATTTTTTTTAAATGTAAAATTTGTTTAAAAGTTCTTTAAATGAATTTTGTAGTAAATACAAATTACAAGCTGAATTATTAGAGGAGTTTTGATTCATGTTCATTGCAAATATAGGAAACTTAAGCTGCCATGAAATGAGTGAAGAAGAGAGGACAGAAATTTCCTGATAACCTCCTACACAGAGCTGTGTGATGTGTATAGATAGAGACAGAGTGTACACACAAAAAAAAAAAAAACAGGAAGGTAAGAAACTTTTATGCAGAAGAAACACACAATGTAGTCTAATGTCTAAAAAATTGTTCTTTGGATGTCTTAGGGCTCATGTACACGGGGCGTTTGTAAAACTTTTCTGAACGATGGAAACTGACTGCTGGAAAACATAGGTTAAAAAAAACGTCAGTTTAGCCGCGTTTGCATAACGCATTATGCACGTTTGCGTTTAGAAGCCTTTTTAAAAGATAAACCTCAGGAGGCATTCCCAAATGCCCAGAATGCACTGACAAATAGTAAATTCACTAAAAAAGGCTACTAAAATACCACAGGAGTTATTTTATCAAGTCATGCGGAATTTTAGTAGTGAAAAGCATGCATCATATTTCAGCTGTCAGCGGGGTTCCCACTGACAGCGGAATGTAAAAGAAAGAATTACCGGTAATTAAAAAAATAATAAAAAAAAACAGCATAGGGTCCCCCCTCCCATCCATACCAAGTCCTTCGGGTCTGGTATGGATCTTGAGGGGAAGCCCCACCCCAAAATTAATAAAAAAAATGGCATGGGGTTCCCCCCAAAATCCATACCAGACCCTGAGCATGCAGCCCGGCAGGTCAGGAAAGGGGGGGTGAGCGAGCCCCCCCCCCCAAAGCACCTTATCTGAGACAAGGACAAGGGCCTCTTCCCTACAACCCTGGGCTGTGGTTGTGGGGGTCTGCAGGCAGGGGGCTTATCGGCATCTGGCCCCCAGATCCCCCCCCCCACGTGAATAAGTATGGTGTACATGGTACCACTAGCCATTCACAAAAAAAAACCTGTAGTGTGGAAAAAAGACAGGAGTCATGGTTGTGCTCCCCCCCCCCCTTTCCTGACCTGTTGGGCTGCATGCTCGGATAAGGGTCTGGTATGGATTTTGGGGGGGAACCCCGTGCTATTTTTTTTGGCATGGGGCTTCTCCTCAAAATCCATACCAGACCCGTATCAGGAATGGATGGGAGGGGGGGGGGACCCCACGCCGTTTTTTTTTTTTAATTATTTTTTAATTGCCGGCAATTCTTTCCTTTACATTCAGCTGTCAGTGGGAACCCCGCTGACAGTTGAAACATGATGCATGCTTTTCACTACTAAAATTCTGCATGACTTGATAAAATCATGCGGTATTTTAGTAGCCTTTTAGTGGATTCAAATGGGGTTTTTTTAAAAAAATGCTATGCGGTATCCTACCCCATACTCAGATGCGGTAGGATACCGCTTAGTGAATTGTGCCCTGGATATGGACCAGTCAAAAAACGCTTCTAAACGCAAACTCTTATAAATGCGGTTAGCCACGTTTACAAGCGTTTGGCATTTGAAATGCTGATAAAATCTACTCCTTAACGCAAGTTTGGTGCGTTCAAAAAAACGACTGTAAACTTAACTGCCTGTAAACGACTGTAAACGACATAGCGTACATGGACACATAGGAAAATATTAGGAAAAGTTCAGGGGCTGCTGAAAAAAAATGCAGAAAAGCTCCTGAATGTCAGTTTATCAGCTGCAGTGTACATGGAGCCTTATGCATTCACATGGGTACAAGGAATGATTGCAGTATTGTGTGTGATAAAAATCATCTCCTGATGATCATCAGCTCCATCTAGTGGCCATAATGAATATTTTTTGTTATTGAGCCATTTCTGATAAATACCACAAATGGCCTCTAGATGGAGTATATGATCATAGAAGATAATTATGTAACACACAATACTATGTATACAGACACAGGTCCCATCTGCAATATAAAGCCTTCCACTTTTTGGGTACACTTTTCACTTTTTTTTTCAAGTGCAGTAATTCATAGCAACCAATCAAAATATACTCTGCTAAAGTCAGACTATTATAGGATAGATTCTGATTGCTTGCTATGAGTTAGTGCACCTAAGAATACAAAATGTCTATATCTGCAAGAAGCACTGGGAAGGGAGTGGGACGGCTCTGTGTGGACATGAAATGTCCTCGATATTTAAATATTAGAATTTCATAGAAAATTGATGTCACATGGAATAACAAAAACACTTTCAGTTGCACTCTTCCTCCATTCTTCCAGGTGTCATGTATTCTCTGTAGATATCACTCACCCCATTTCACACTGAGAGTCTCATCCCCCAGACTGCTGTGGTCCACATGACAGAAGTAAGTGTCTCCCTCCTTGGTTGGCACTTCCACACTGACTCTGATCTGATAGGTGCCATCAGGATGGGGGAGAATTGGAGTCATTTCATCTGAAGGAACATGGTCCTCCCCATTCCTCATCCACTTCACATCCACAGGTCGGGGGTGAAACCCGTACACCAGGCAATGAAGTCTGGTCACATCATCCGACTGACGACGGCGCCCCCACACCTTCACCTCTGGACGCACTGAGAGAGAGAAAGAGAAAAAATATCATTCTGCTGGTTGTACAGGAGGTCATGTTCTGATGAGTTTCATATGAAAAATATATAAAATGTGAAACGTCCCTGGGATAGATCCGTGTAAATATGGATGATAGTAGCCAACCGTACAGTGAAAAGGATAAGACAACAGACATACCTGTGCAATACATTTCTGTTAAAAAAATTGTTTAAAAAGCCTCTACAACCGATTCCTTTTCCTCATACAGTCATCAGTGTGAAGGTGTGACAAGTGAATGTATGTAATGGATAAAGGAGACTGAATGGTATAGGAAGCAGCATGTGACATCATCTACTGGAATAATTATTTACAAAGAAGTAATCTAACTGGTACTTGTAGTCACAATTGTTTATGTACATCAAACCTATATGTCCATTACATGTGACAGCTGTGCTTCCTGCTTAGCATTGCCGCACAATTGTGCTTTATACAGAATGTATGGAGGAATCTCCCTCTGTGGTTATTGTATTTTCACAGCCTCAGCCTGTCAGAATAATAGAACAGTGGCTGCATATAACTGAATGCAGCTGCTGTACGGCCAGGTTTTCTGCTGGTCTTCTTTCCATTTTGTAAATGAAGGATGTCAGGGAGGGAGATGGCGGCAGAGTCACCCTTGTAGAAAATGTTGTCTGTTTCCTTAGAAATCGGCTATAAAACACGTAGATGTGTATGCAGCTTATGGCCGACCCAGTGTTCTCACAACCAGGGAATCATCGTCTGGGAATCCAGAGGTATCCGACTTTTATCTGACATCCTTCACCCTAATGGGAATATTGTGTCATTCTACCTGGTACAAGACACCGCACCGAAATCCCACTTCTCCAACCACATACAAGTATTTGGAAGACTCCAAAACCTGGAATACAGACCATGGCTCCCCAACTGTCCCTGATTTCAAGGGACTATCCCTGATGTGGACCAAAGTCCCTCTTTCCTCCTCATTTTTCCCCCATTTTGGTCTGATCTATATAGTTGTTATATATAAAAACGCACTTTTTTATCTTTCAAAAAGTGTTTCAGAGTCGTAAACCTTTCATCTAAATTCTAATGTGCCGGAAATATTACAGAAGACATGACTTTTGTTGCACATGATGGGGTATTTAGGCCTCATTCACACAGATGTGCATTTTTCAAAAAAGGGCCCGCAGGTTCCTGCTGGCAGAATCTTACATCAGAAATACATCATCAGTTTAAATGTATTTATCCATCGCATGGAACGCATTTATGTCCATTGTGTTTAAACACGCTTAGGTGCACATACACTCATGTACACGCATTTAAATGTATTAACAGCTTCCCTCCCTATAGCAGAAATAATGCTACGGGTGCGCAAAATCACACACAAATATATATACATCTGATTTAGCATCTTTGGATACCCAAAGATGCTACCCAAGCCACCATTCGCAGTCGCGGCTGTCAATCATTGTGCACACTGCTTTGTATGGCTGTGCCAAGCAGTGTGCTTACAGTGAGGCAACCCAAACACAGCTTATAGTAAAACACAGCACACAGTTAACCCTTTGATTGCCCCCTCATGTTAACCCTTCCTGCCAGTTCCATTAGCACAGTGTCAGTACTTTTTATTAGCACTGATCATTGTATTGGTGTCACTGGGGATGTCAGTGACACCAAGTCAGTTCCCCCCCCAGTGTCAGAATGTCCGCCGCTGAGTCCCGCTATAAGTCGCTGGTTGCCGCCATTACTAGTAAGAAAAAAAAAAAAAAAAAAACCCAGCATATACACCGCCATTTGTAAACGCTATAACTTTCACGTAAACCAATTAATTTACACTTATTAGGATTTTTTGTTAGTAAAGACATGGAGCAGAATACATTTTGGTCTAAATTTATGACGAAATTTGATTTTTTAACTGGACATGTTTAATAGCAAAAAAGTCAAAAATCTTTTTTTTTTTTTTTCTTAAAATTGTCGTTTTTTTTTTAATAGCACAAAAAATAAAAACTGCACAGGCGATCAAATACCACCAAAAGAAAGCTAAATTTGTGGGAAAAAAATGGATGTAAATTTCATTTGAGTGGCAGCGTTGCATGACCGCACACATTGTCAGTTAAAGTAATGCAGCTCCATATCGCGCAAAATGGCCTGGTCAGGAAGGGGGGGGGAATCCTCTGGAGGGCGAGGGGTTGAAGATCATTAGTATGTGTACACGCGGTATCAGCACAGACACTGTACGGCCACAGAGGCATCTCTGCTCTTTCCGCTGCTAAATGCAGATCTACAGAACGGCTCCACATGCCCGTCTGAAACGGCCCCATAACTCTCTATTATACGGGGTACAGATGATTGTAGGACTAGAGCCGGGACACCTCTGTATACAGCATTGTGTTTATGTCGCTGGGAATGAAGAAAGATTCATTGTATTTACTAACATTACAAAGGAAATTCTCAGCCACAATCCACAAAGTAATATACATGAGTCGGGTTATCAGACAGATGAGAAGAACATTCTCACCCTGCAAATATACAGATGTGACACTTCTACCTGTGACATCCTTCTCTGATTGGCTGCGGGATCCTCTATCCTCCGGCTCTCAGACTGGTAGGTGGACACATAACATGGATGACTCTCTCTGTATACAATGTCCACCACTAACAGACACGTGTGGCGTCCCCTCCATGTGTGTGCGCACGTTGTGCTGTGCAGAGAGTGGCCCCTGTGCAGCCGCTGTAATGAGCGGAGCCCGCTGTTATCTACATGTAAGTCACTGATTACGTTTTCATTCTCCACTTCACCTCCGGGAGATTTCCCCCCTTCCTGACCAGGACATTGTTGATATTATGGCGCTGCGTTACTTTAACTGACAATTGCGCGGGTCATGCAACGCTGCACCCAAAGGAAATGTATGTCTTTTCCCACATATGGCGCTTTCTTTTGGTGGTATTTGATCACCTCTGGGATTTTTGGGGGGGATTTTTTGTGCTATAAACAAAATAAGACTGACAATTTTGCAAAAAAAAAGAAAAACAACAAACACAATATTTTTTACTTTCTGCAAATAAAACATAACCAATAAAAAAAATGTAAAAATCACATTTCTTCATGAATTTAGGCCAAATGTATTCTGCTCCATATTTCTGGGAAACGATCCCAATAAGCTGACATTGGTTGGTTTAGTGTTCTAGTTCTAGTGTACAACTATGGGATATATACTGGGATTTGTATATTATTTCTATACTAGTAATGGAGGCCCATCAGAGGACTTATAGTGGGACTGCGATATTACGGCGGACAATCTGACACTAACTGACACTTTGTGGAAATCAGTGATCGGTGCTAAAAATATACACTGACACTGTAGTACTGACACTGCCTGGGAAGGGGTTAAACATCTAGGGCAATCAAAGGGTTAAATGTGTGCCTAACCCGTGTTTTCATGTGTACACTACTAAGGGATGTGCTGGATTTTATTTCTTGCTTTGCAGGGACACAAAATCCAGCACATCCCTGCTGACAGGACAAAGCACAAACCGCATCAAAAATGCACAAGTGTTGCGTTTTTTTTTTTTTTATTGCGGTTTGCATTTTTTTAATCTACCCAGCAACAAGTTAATCAAAAAAAGAACTAAAAATTCAAAAATCGCAAAAACGCATCAGTAAACACATCAAAATGAATTTTTGATGTGTTTTTTAATCTGCTCATACAACCAGTTGGACAGAAAAATAAAAATTCAAAAATCATAAACTGCATCAGAAAACACATCAAAAATGCAAAAAAAATATGCAAAATAGGCAAAGCACAAACTGCATTGGTGTGAGACAGGCCTGAAATGTATTGAAAATGCATCAAAAATGTGCACACACTGCTTTTTTTACACGTTTTTAATCTGCCAGCAACAATTTGGCAAAAAATTTAAAAATCGCATACCGCAGCAGAAAAAGCATCAAAAATGTACACATTGCATTTTTGATGCATTTTTAATCTGCTCAGCAACAAGTTGTGGCCAAAAATATAAAATTAAAAAATCACAAACCACATCAGAAAACGCAAAGAACACTGCAAAATAGGCAAAGCACAAACTGCATTGGTATGAAACAGGCCTGAATTGCATTTAAAATGCAACAAAAACGCACACGTTGCATTTTTGATGCGTTTTTTTTAATCTTCCAAGAGACAAGTTGGCCAAAATTTTTTTTCAAAAAATCAGAAAACGTGTACATGTTGAGTTTTTGATGCGTTTTGCATTTTTAATCTGCCCAGGAACAAGTTGGGAAAAAAAAATTAAAATAAGCAAACAGCATCAAACAACATTGACAAAAACGCACTGCAAAACTGATAAAAGCAAACTGCATTGGTGTATAAAAGGCCCCTGAAATGCATTGAAAACGCAGCAAAAAACAAATCAAATACGCACAAAATTGAGTTTTGCATTTCCAATGTATTTTGCATTTTTAATCTACCCAGCAACACAACAAAAAAAAAAAAAAATTCATAAAACGCATAAAAAAGGCCAAGACGTGTTGCGTTTTTGATGCGGTTTGCGTTTTAATCTGCCCAGCAACAAGTTGGTAAAAAAAAAAATAAAAAATCACAAACCGCATATTAAAAGATCAATAAGAAATGCACACATGTTGCGTTTTTCATCTGCTCATCAGCAACAAGTTGACAAAAAAAAAAATTTAAAAACCACAAACCGCATCAGAAAACGCAAAAAACACTGCAAAATAGGCAAAGCACAAAACGCATTGGTGAGAAAGAAAACAGGCCTGAAATGTATTGAAAAAGCAACAATAATGCAACAAAAAACGCACAGGTGCATTTTTAATCTGCCAGCAGAGAGACAAGTTGGGACCAAAAACATTTTCAAAAACCCACAAACCGCATCAGAAAACGCATACGTGTTGCGTTTTTAATGTGCCCAGCAACAAGTTGGGCAAAAAAAAATTAAAATAAGCAAAACAGCATTAAACAAACACGACAAAAACACAAGTGCAAAAAACGCACTGCAAAACGGACATCAGCAAACTGCATTGATGTATAAAAGGCTTGAAATGCATTGAAAACACATCAAATACACACGTGTTGCGTTTTTGATGCATTTTGCATTTTTAATCTACTCAGCAACGCGGGTCAAAAAAAAAAAAACATTCACAAAACGCATCAAAAATGCACACATGTTACGTTTTTGATGAGTATTGCTTTTTTATAATCTTGCCCAGAGCAACAAGTTGGCCTCCAAAAAAATGTTTTACATAAATTACAAACCGCATCAGAAAAACGCATCAAAAAACACACATGTGCTGCGTTTTTTATATATGTTTTGTGTTTTTAAAAAAATCTGTCCAGCAACAAGTTGGCCAAAAATTTTTTTTCAAAAATCGCAAACCCGCATCAAAAAAACGCACACGTGTTGCCGTTTTTGATGCGTTGGGGGTTTTTAATCTGCCTAGCAAAAAAAAGTCCAAAAAATTTTTAAAAAATCGCAAACCACATCAGAAAATACACCAAAAATGCACAAGTGTTGCACTTTTGATGCGTTTTGCGTTTCTAATCTGCCCAGGAACAAGTTGGCCCAAAAAAAATTTCAAAATCAAACCGAAACGTATCAGAAAACACATCAAAAAAACACACATGTGCTGCGTTTTTGATGCATTTTGCTTTTTTAATCTGCCCAGCAACAAGTTGGTTTAAAAAAAATTAAAAAAATTACAAAATGCATAAAACAAAAAAACGCACACTGTTTTGTTTTTGATGCATTTTGCGTTCTTAATCTGCCCAGCAACAAGCTGGCCCAAAAAAAAAAATTCAAAAATCACAAACCACATCAGAAAACGCATCAAAGACACACTTGTAAAAAAAATGCACTGCAAAACGGACAAAAGCAAACTGTATTGGTGTGAAACATAGGCCTGAAACAACGCATTGAAAAAGCGCATTGAAAATGCATTCCGGGCCTGTTTCAAACCAATGCAGTTTGCCTTTTGCACAAAAAACGCATCAAAAACACACACATGTTGTGGTTTTGATGCGTTTTAATCTGTCCAGCAACAAGTTGGAGAAATTTTTTTCAAAAATCACAAACCACATTAAAAAACAACGCACAAGTGTTGCATTTTTGATGTATTTTTTAATCTGCCCAGCAAACAAGTTGTCCAAAAAAAAAAAATTCAAAAATCACAAACCGCATCAAAAACACACGTACTGCGTTTTTTGATGCGTTTTTAATCTTCCCAGCAACAAGTTGGCAAAAAAAAATTCTAAAATTGCAAACAGTTTCAGACAACATGACAAAACAAGCGTGCAAAAACACAAAATGCTGCAAAATGGGCAAAGTGCAAACTGAATTAGTGTGATACAGGCCTGAAATGCATTGAAAACGCAACAAAAACGCGTGTCCCTGACCCTTCCCAACAAAGCTGCGGATGACAAACACATGGATGTGAACGTGTCCCATAGGAAATCAATGTTATATCCACTGTAGTGTGTTTCTGAAAAACGCACTAAAACCGCATAGATGTGAGCCACGCCTTATACAGTATATCTCTGGTGCATGGCGTGTATACCATGTGGTGTGACTACATACAGCCGTGTACATAGAGCCGTGTCTGCCACAGTGTAGTATGTGTACTGTATGCAGAGAGTACATAGGAGTGTGTATACAATGCGGGGTGTATATACAGCGTGTAGATGTAACATATAATGATGTATGTAGTGTGGGGTGTGTACATAACGGCATGTAGATGTAACATATATGATGTATGTAGTGCGTTGTATATATACGGCATGTAGATGTAACATTATGTGATGTATGTAGTGTGGTGTGTATATACGGAGTGTAGATGTAACATATATAATGTATGTAGTTCGGTGTGTGTATATACGAGTGTAGATAGAACATATATGATGTATGTAGTGTGGTGTGTATATACGGAGTGTAGATAGAACATATATAATGTATGTAGTGCGGTGTGTATATACGGCGTGTAGATGTAACATATATGATGTATGTAGTGCGGTGTGTAGATGTAACATATATGATGTATGTAGTGTGGTGGTGTGTATATACGGAGTGTAGATGTAACATATATGATGTAAGTAGTGCGGTGTGTATATACGGCGTGTAGATGTAACATATGATGTATGTAGTGCGGTGTGTATATATGGCCGTGTAGATGTAACATATAATGATTGTATGTAGTGCGGTGTGTATATACGGTGTGTAGCTGTAACAATATATGATGTATGTAGTGCGGTGTGTATATACGGTGTGTAGATGTAAACATATGATGTATGTAGTGTGGTGTGTATATACGGCGTGTAGATGTAACAGTAAATTGTGATGTATGTAGTGCGGTGTGTATATAAGGCGTGTAGATGTAACATATATATATGATGTACGTGTTCGGTGTTGTATATACGGAGTGTAGATAGAACATATACGATGTATGTAGTGTGGTGTGTATATACGGAGTGTTATAGAACATATATGATGTATTGAGTTTTGTGTGTATATACGGCGTGTAGATAGAACATATATGATGTTATGTAGTGCGGTGTGTATATACGGAGTGTAGATAGAAACATATATGATGTATGTAGTGTGGTTGTATATACGGCGTGTAGATATAACATATATGATGTATGTAGTATTTTGTGTAGATGTAACATATATAGATGATGTATGTAGTTGCCGGTTGTGTATATTGGTGTGTAGATTTTTAACATATATGATGTATGTAGTGCGATGTGTATATATAGGGCGTGTAGATGTAACATATAATGTATGTAGTTCGGTGTTTATTTGTACGGAGTGTGTGATAGAACATATATGATGTATGTAGTGTGGTGTGTATATACGGAGTGTAGATAGAACATATATAATGTATGTAGTGCGGTGGTGTATATACGGCGTGTAGATGTAACATATATGAAGTATGTAGTGCGGTGTGTAGATGTAACATATATGATGTATGTAGTGCGGTGTGTATTTACGGTGTGTGTAGATGTAACATATATGATGTATGTAGTGCGATGTGTATATACGAGAGTGTAGATTAACATATATGATGTATGTAGTGCGGTGTGTATAAACGGTTGTGTAGATGTAACATATATGATGTATATAGTTCGGTGTGTATATACGGAGTGTAGATAGAACATATATGATGTATGTAGTGCGGGGTGTATATACGGAGTGTAGATAGAACATATATGATGTATGTATGTGTTATACGGCGTGTAGATGTAACATATATGATGTATGTAGTGTGATGTGTTATATACGGCGTGTAGATTTAACATTATATGATGTATGTAGTGCGGTGTGTATATACGGCGTGTAGATGTAACATATATGATGTATGTTAGTGCGGTGTGTTATATATACGGTGTGTAGATGTAACATATATGATGTATGTAGTGTGGTGTGTTAGATGTAACATATATGATGTATGTAGTGCGGTGTGTCTATACGGTGTGTAGATGTAACATATATGATGTATGTAGTGTGTGTGTTATTACGTGTGTAGATGTAACATATATGATGTATGTAGTGTGTTCGAGTTGTGTGTATATATGGTGGTGTAGATGTAACATATTGATGTTGGGGTGTGTGGTGTTTTGTAGGGGTGGGGTGTTGTTGATGTTTCTGCATATATTGTTATGTAGTGGGTGTGTATATATGGTGTGTAGATGTAACATATATGATGTATGTAGTGCGTGTGTGTATATATGGTGTGTAGTATGTAACATATAGAAATAAGATGTATGTAGTGTGGTGTGTATATATGGGTGTAGATGTAACAAATATGATGTATGTAGTGTGGTGTGTATACGGCGTGTTTGATGTAACATATATGATGTATGTTAGTGCGGCCGTGTAGATGTAACCTATGTGATGTATGTAGTGTGGTGTTGTTATATACGGCGTGTAGATGTAACATATATGATGTATGTAGTGTGGTTGTGTATATACGGCGTGTAGATGTAACATATAGGATGTATGTAGTGCGGATGTGTAGATATTAACATGGTATGATTGTTATGTAGTGCGGTTGTAGATGTAACATGTATGATGTATGTAGTGTGGTCACCTCTTCCTCTCCAGATCTTCTCTCCCATTGTTGATGTGTTTCATCAGGGAACTCTATACATTCAGTTCTCCAGATAATTCTTGTTCCTCCCCCTGTCTCTCCTCCGGACTGTTCCATCTCTGTGGGGACCGGGATCCATGATCTGAGCCTCATTCATGGTCGGGATCCAGATCCCTCCTCTGGAGTGTCCAGAGAGGAGAATTCTCTCCCCATTCCATATCCGTGCTGATTATACCCCGCAGTGGTGCCGTCATCTCTCAGCTCACAGCCGAACATCACCTGGAGGATATGTTAGTCCCTGCAGAGAGAAGAGGGAGATGTGTGAGTGTGGCGGTAGGATGGAATCTAGTCCGGGAGAGCTGCCTTCCCAGAAGGAGAACGGACATCTCCTCTATACAGAGGACCTTCTACTACAATGTACCTTGACACCGCGGGCGCCCTGCCCCCCTCCCCCACACTCAGCTCTGCATCACACACTGGCATATACTCAGGAAAGCTGAGAATCCCAAATCCCCACAAACCTTCTCCTGTACAGAGGGACTAGGATGACCTCTGATGGGACCCTGATCCATTGTGAGGCCCGGGGAGGTCAGGGACAGGAAGGACCCGGGACAGGGGAGACGAGGACTTCCCATGGATCTTCCTTCCAGGTGGTATTTTAGGGGGAATCCTCCTATACAGAGATGATATGTTAGTCCAAGGTCACTTACCAAAATGGGATCTCCCACATGGTAGGGTCTTCCATCATAGTCCGGAGGACCTGCCTTCTGCATTGGAGTACACAGCTCACTGCTGGACACATCCTGTACATAACAATTGTATTCTGGGGCCCCATTAGACGTTTATCAGCGCATTGCTGGGTGATGTGCGGACATAGCTGCAGAAATATATACCATGTACACTGGATGTTACTGCATGTCACTGCACTGCTGAGCAACACACCCACCTGTGTGAATGAGGCCGTATACCATCTGCTGTGGGGGACCTGTGTCTGTGTCATTTCTGGTGAAGCCTCCATCTGTCAATACACACAGCAGACCTGACGGGACAGCTCTCCATACTTTCTCTATGAGTCCCCAGACAGGAAGTCAGCTGTGCATGGAGGAAAATTCTTCCCCTCACTCTGCAATGTGTGTCCTGTGTTCACTTACAAAAAAAAAAAAAGGTAAAAAAAGATAGTTTGGTCGCACACGCACGATTGGTTGATTGAAGTGAACACCAGCTTCCATTTATTTACCAATATTCACTTTGCTGAGTCAAGAAACTTTACATTTTTATCCCCCAGAGCAATCTAGACGTTTTCCGGGTTCTCCAATGTATGGGGCTCCCAGGTTTTAGCTGCAGGAGGAAGGACATGGGGGGTCCTGTCCCGGGTCCATTGCATGTGGGGGAAGGGCACGGGGATCCTGTCCAGGTCCACTGCTGTGGGGGAAGGGCACGGGGGTCCTGTCCAGGTCCACCGCTGTGGGGGAAGGGCACGGGGGTTCTGTCCAGGTCCACCGCTGTGGGGGGGTGAAGGGCACGGGGGTCCTGTCCAGGTCCACTGCTGTGGTGGAAGGGCAACTGGGGGTCCAGGTCCTGTCCAGGGGGGTCCTGTTCCCACTGCTGTGGGGAAGGGCACGTCCTGTCCAGTTCCACTGGAGTCCTGTCCCCCCCCCCCCCCCTCCGGACCAGCACTCCAAATTTTTTTCGGCACAGTGCTGCGTGCATTATTTTAACTGACAATTGTGCGGTCATGCAACACTGCACACAAATTAAATTTATGTCCTTTTCCCCCCACAAGTAGAGCTTTCTTTCGGTGGTATTTGATCACCTGTGCATTTTTTCATTTTTTGCATTATAAACAAAGAGACCAACAACAAAAACAAAACATTATTTTTGACTTTTTTCTATGAAACATGTCCAGTAAAAAATTTTAAAAAATCAAATTTCGTTATAAATTTAAGCTATTAAATGTATTCTGTGTCTTTGCTAAAAAAAAAATCCCAATAAGTGTAAAATAATTGGTTTACATGAAAGTTATGTGTTTACAAATGGAGTACACATACCTGTATTCTGGAAGTTAAAAAAAATGTTTTTTATACCCAATGCGGCGATCAGCGACTTATAGTTGGACTGCGGGGGGGCCGTCTGACACTGGGGGGGGACTGACTAACTGTTACTGACATCCCCAGTGACACCAATACAGTGATCAGTGCTAATAAAAAGGACTGACACTGTACTAATGGCACTGGGCAGGAAGGGGTTAACATCTGGGGTGATCAAAGGGTTAACTGTGTGCTGTGCTTGTGGTTACTGTGTTAGGCTCAGTTCACACTAGCTTTGTCAGCAGGCATCAGACAGGCATTTGGGAAGCGTTTTTACCACTTCTCAAACGCCTATGAAAATTCTGCACATGGCAGCTGTGTGCTGTTCCACATGGAAGCGTTAGCAGCGATCGCGGCAAAACGGACGCCTCGTTTCGAGTCAGAAGGAGTTGAAGCCTCCCATTCAAGTCTATGGTGTCACTCTGCAATTGCCTGTAGGTGTTTGCGACATGGTCCTGCAGAGTGTTAATACCATTTAACTTCATTATAGGCGTTTGTGGTGCGGATTTAACTCTTGGCAAACGCCTATCAACCGCCTCAAACTGTTCATGGGGCGTTTGGGGAGCATTAAAACCGCTTCCCAAGCGCTATAGAGGCGTTTTGCAAGAGTCAGAAATAAAGTCAAGTGTGAACGAGCCCTAAGAATGCTGCTATGCAGAGCAAAACAAAGCAGTGTGCTGGAGCTGACGGGAGAGATCTGTATTGTTTCCATACAGACCTCTCCTGTCAGTGTTTGTCGATGATCGCCGGGTGCCGGTGGGGAATCTCCGGCCAAGATCCGGGGACCGACACCTCTAGCCACCAATGGCAGCGCAGGTGGGGCGGCCCAGGCACGAGCGCCCCTACCCGGGAATACAAAATCACGTATATATACAGTCAGGTCCATAAAATATTGGGACATGGACACAATTCTAACATTTTTGGCTCTATACACCACCACAATGGATTTGAAATGAAACGAACAAGATGTGCTTTAACTGCAGACTTAAGTCCTTATTTTCCCAAAAGGATTTTCAAAACAATGTTCCAAAATGTGCTTTATCCACCTAATCACCACGTGAAAAATAATATTGACCGCACTCACCAGATGGAGGTGAGTAATAAGCCTCATAGGATATAAGGGATCCTATAGCCCCCTCAGGAGGAACTCAAATCGCCTTCACCCTGCTTAGATACAGCAATCGACTCCACTCTACTTCTCCATGGAATCCTCAATAGTGTGCAAGGAAAGAAAGGCTACATAGTGTAATACTGCCACTCAATACCATATAAATCCATAGAATAAGGACACTCACATGTTTCAATAAAATAACAGGCCTTGTTTAACCGTTAGCCGCCCGGCCAATGGCCGTTTGGCGGCTTGAAAAGCGCTGCAGCTTTCCGGGTGCACGCCATTTGGCGTGCTCCCGCACATGCGCCGTTTGCGCTATTGCAGAGCGGCGCAGCAGCGGGGATCTGTCACCGCCCGTGCACCTCGGACACGGCCGATGACAGATCCGAGTACCGGCTCCCGTTGCCGGTACCATGTGACCTGCCGCGACCAATCACAGCAGGTCACATGACAGTTGTATACAATGGATGGCTTCATTCATGATGCCATCCATTGTATACTAGTGCCTAGCTGTGAATGGTCACAGCTAATCACATGCACATGTCATGTGATTAGCTGTGACCAAATCACAGCTAAGCACAAAAAAAAAAAAAAAAAAAAAAAAAGCTGAATGAATCGATTTCATTCAGCTAAATGCTTGCTTATAGCAAAGTAATTCTTTGCTATAAGCAAATTGTGTAAAAAAAAAAAAAAAAAAAAATACTGATCACTTCCCCAAAGTAGTACAATGTTACTATGGTAACATTGTACTATTTTGGTCATAGTAAAATATGAAAAAAAATCTTAAAAAAAATAAAAAAAAATGTAATAAAAAATTAAATATAATAAAAAAATAAAAAAAAATTAAAAAAAAAAATATAATTTTTTTTTTTTTTTCATACTGTCACCAGTCAGTGTCCCTGTTCACCGCCATGCCAGTTATATGATGACGCTGTACTGCACTGGTGACAGTATGTAAAAAAAAAAATAGTGAAAATAATATTTTTCATTTTTTCATTTTCGGAAAAATTATGACAAAAAAATACAACTTCAAAAAACTCGCCAGGCCTCTTATGAAGTACGTCGGACTGTCTACTCTGCAAAAAGGGGTCATTTGGGGATATCTGTACTGTTCTGACATTCTTGGACCTCAAGAAATTAGATTGGCTGTCAGTACTTCAGGATTGATCAATAATCAGATCTATACCATAGTTTGTGAACTCTATAACTTTCCTACAAACTAAATAATACATCCTAATTTGGGTTATTTTCACCAAAGACATGTAGCAGAATACATCTCGGCCTAAATTTATGAAGAACAATTATTTATTTGTAAACTTTTATAACAGAAACAAAGAAAAATGTGTTTTTTTTTTTCAAAATTTTTGGTCTTTTTTTGTTAATTTAGCAAAAAATAAAAAACCCCAGCGGTGATTAAATACCACCAAAAGAAAGCTCTAGTTGTGTGAAGAAAATGATAAAATTTTAGTTTGGGTACAGTGTTGTATGATACTGCGCAATTGTCATTCAAAGTGTGAGAGCGCTGAGACCTGAAAAATGGCCAGGGCAGGAAGGTGTAAAATTGCACGGTATTGAAATGGTTAAATAGCCTCAAAGGCTTCAAAGGAACAAGTTTCCAAATTGTAAATATAGGGATCTCACGCTTTAAGGATCACTGTAGAGGATGACCAGCTTTCCACCTCAAAAATGGCTGCTTGAACCGCAAAAGTCAGCGTGTGTTCCAAATACCGGAAGTGCGTCAACGCGTTTTGCCCCACCCACAGTTGCTTGAAAACGCCCTGTGGGTGGGGCAAAACGCGTTGACGCACTTCCGGTCTGCCGTCTTCTTGGCCTACGTCACTTCCGGTATTTGGAACGCACGCTGACTTTTTTGCGGTTCAAGCAGCCATTTTTGAGGTAGAAAGCTGGTCATCCTCTACAGTGATCCTTAAAGCGTGAGATCCCTATATTTACAATTTGGAAACTTGTTCCTTTGAAGCCTTTGAGGCTATTAAACAAGGCCTGTTATTTTATTGAAACATGTGAGTGTCCTTATTCTATGGATGTTTGAAATATTATATATATATTTTTGCACGGACATTTATTTATTTGTGATTATTT